ATAAAGCAAGTTCTTAATGACCTACAAAGAGACTTAGACTCCCACACAATAATAGTGGGAGACTTTAACACTCCACTTTCAATATTAGACAGATCAATGAGACAGAAAATTAACAAGGATATCCAGGACTTGAACTCAGAGCTGTGCCAAGCAAACCTAATAGACATTTACAGAACTCTCCACCCCAGATATACAGAATATACATTCTTCTCAGCACCACATTGCACTTACTTCAAAATTGACTACATAATTGGAGGTATATCACTCCTCAGCAAATGCAAAAGAATGGAAATCATAACAAACAGTCTTTCAGAACACAGTGCAATCAAATTAGAACTCAGGATTAAGAAACTAATTCAGAACTGCACAACTTCATGGAAACTGAACAACTGGCTCTTGAATGTTGACTGAATAAACAATGAAATGAAGGCAGGAATAAAGATGTTCTTCGAAACCAATGAAAACGAAGACACCATGTACCAGAATCTCTGGGACACATTTAAAGCAGTGTCTAGAGGAAAATTTATAGCAATAAATGCCCACATGAGAAGCAAGGAAAGATCTAAAATCCACACTCTATCATCAAAATTGGAAGAGCTAGAGGAGCAAGATCAAAAAAACTCAAAACCTAGCAGAAGACAAGAAATAACTAAGATCAGAGCAGAACCGAAGGAGATAGACACACAAAAAATCCTTCAAAAAATCAATAAATCCAGGAGCTGTTTTTTAAAAAAGATAATCAGAATAGACAGACTATTAGCCAGATTAAGAAAAAAGAAAAGAGAAGAACTAAAGAGATTCAATAAAAAACGATAAAGGAGATATCACCACAGATTCCACAGGAAAGCAAACTAAAATCAGAGACTACTACAAACAACTCTATGTACATAAACCAGTAAACCTGGAAGAAATGGATAAATTCCTGGACACCTGCATCCTCCCAAGCCTAAACCAGGAAGAAGTCAAAACCCTGAATAGACCAGTAACAAGAGCTGAAGTTGAGGCAACAATTAATAGCCTACCAACCAAAAAAAGCCCAGGTCCAGATGGGTTCACAGCTGAATTCTACCAGACATACAAAGAGGAGCTGGTATCATTCCTTCTGAAAGTATTCCAAACAATCCAAAAAGGGGGAATCCTTCCCACATCATTTTATGAGACCAATATCATCCTGATACCAAAACCCGGCAAAGACTCAACAAAAAAAGAAAACTTCAGGACAATATCCATGATGAACATAGATGCACAAATCTTCAATAAACTACTAGCAAACTGATTGCAACAGCACATCAAAAAGCTTATCCATCACGTTCAAGTAACTTCATCCCGGCGATACAAGGCAGGCTCAACATATGAAAGTCTATAAATGTAATCCACTACATAAACAGAACCAAAGAAAAAAGCCACATGATTATCTCAATAGATGCAGAGAAGGCCTTTGATAAAATTCAACAGCCCTTTATGCTAAAAACTCTCAATAAACTAGGTATCAGTGGAATGTATTTCAAAATAATAAAAGCTATTTACGACCAACCCGGGGCCAACATCATACTGAAAAGGCAAAAACTGGAAGCATTCCCTTTGAAATCTGGCACTAGACAAGGATGCCCTCTCTCACCACTCTTTTTCAATATAGTATTGGAAGTTCTAGGAAGACCAATCGGGCAAGAAAAAGAAATAAAGGGTATACAATTAGGAAGGAGGAAGTCAAATTGTCTCTATTTGCAGACGACATGATTGTATATTTAAAAGACCCTACTATCTCAGCCCCAAATCTCCTGAAACTGATAAGCAACTTCAGCAAAGTCTCAGGATAAAAAATCAATGTGTAGAAATCACAAGCATTCCTATATACCAATAACAGACTAAAAGAGAACCAAATCAAGAACGAACTGCCATTCATAATTGCTACAAAGAGAATAAAATACCTAGAAATACAACTAACAAAGGATGTAAAGGACCTCTTCAAGAAGAACTACAAACCACTGCTCAAGAAAATGAGAGAGGACACAAACAGATGGAAAAACATTCTATGCCCATGGTTAGGAAGAATCAATATTGTGAAAATGGCCATACTTCCCCAAGTAATTTATAGATTCAATGCTATCCGCATCAAGCTACCACTGACCTCCTTCACAGAACTGGAAAAAAAAACCCTTAAATTTCATATGGAACCAAAAGAGAGCCCACATAGCCATGTCAATTCTAAGCAAAAAGAACAAAGCTGGAGGTATGCTACCTGACCTCAAACTATACTACAAGGCTACAGTAATCCAAACAGCATGGTACTGCTACCAAAATAGAGATAGAGACCAATGAAACAGAACAGAGGCCTTGGAGGCAACACCATACATCTACAACCATGTGATCCTTGACAAACCTGACAAAAAGAAGCAATGGAGAAAGGATTCCCTGTTTAATAAATGGTGTTGGGAAAACTGGCTAGCCATGTGCAAAAAGCAGAAACTAGACCCCTTCCTGACACCTTAAACTAAAATTAACTCCAGATGGATTAAAGATTTAAACATAAGATCTAACACCATAAAAGTTTCAGAAGAAAACCTAGGCAAAATCATTCAGGACATAGGCATAGTCAAGGACTTCATTACTAAAACACCAAAAGCATTGACAACAAAAGCTAAAATACACAAGTGGGACCTAATTAAACTCCACACCTTTTGTACAGCAAAAGAAACAATCATTAGATTGAACTGGCAACCAACAGAATGAGAAAAAATTTTGCAATCTACCAATCTGACAAATGGATAATATCCAGAATCTACAAAAAACTAAAACAGATTTACAAGAAAAAAACAAGCCCATTCAAAAGTGGGCAAAGGATATGAACAAACACTTTTCTAAAGAAGACACATATGAGGCCAACAAACATATGAAAAAATTCTCATTATCATTGGTCATTGGAAAAATGCAAATCAAAACCACATTGAGATACTATCTCACACCAGTTAGAATGGCGATCATTAAAATATCTGGAGACAACAGATGCTGGACAGGATGAGGAGAAATAGGAACACTTTTACACTGTTGGTGGGAGTGTAAACTAGTTCAACCATTGTGGAAGACAGTGTGGCGATTCCTTAAGGATCTAGAAATTCCATTTGATCAGGCAATCACATTACTGGTTATATATCCAAAGGATTATAAATCATTCTATTATAAAGACACATGCACACATATGTTCATTGTGGCACTGTCTACAATAGCAAAGACCTGGAATCAACCCAAATGCCCTTCGATGAGAGACTGCACTAGGAAATGGTGGCACATATACACCATGGAATACTATGCAACCATAAAAACGATGAGTTTATGTCCTTTGCAGGGACATGGATGAATCTGGAAACCATCATTCTCAGCAAACTGACACAAGAACAGAAAATCAAACACTGCATGTTCTCACTCACAGGGGGGTGTTGAACAATGAGAACACATGGACACAGGGAGGTGCGCATCACACAATGGGGTCTGTTGAGGGGACTAGGGAGAGATAATGGGGGGTAGGGAGTTGGGGAGGGATAACATGGGGAGAAATGCCAGACACAGGAGAAGGGAATGGAGGCAGGAAACCACATTGTCATGTATATACCTATTCAACAATCCTGCATGTTATGCACATGTACCCCAGAACCTATAGCGCAATATATATATATATATATATATATATATATATATATATATATATATATGAACTGAAAATGTAGGTAAATCTGTGCTTGATTTAAGAAGGGATCAGCAGGGCATGCAAAGAAGATTTCATATCACTCAGTCTCTCAAAGAATGATTTGAAATGGAGAAGAATGACTTTCAGTTCTGTATACCCTAATAATGCAACTTTCCTACAGTTTCTATAACTATAAAGGGAGTCACAATAACATTTTATCCTAAGTTGATGGTGGAAGATACATAATGAGAATTGTGCAAAAATAAAATAAAATTCTAAAAATTACTGCAACTAGGAATTTAAGATTATTTGGAAACTAAGTTTTATGTTTCAGAAGAAGGCTTCTAAATGGAAGATTATAAATACAGGGGATTTTTTTTTTAACAAGATAGAAGCTTTTTTTTTCCTCAAAAAGGCAGTTTTTTCATCTTATAGAAAATTAAGTCCCAGATAAAATCATTAAAAACGGGAATTCTGCTCTCTATGTTCAAATTTTTATGTCAACCTAAAATATATAACTACACATGAGAGAACAAAATATGTTTTTTATAAATTAAATAAAGTTTCTTGCATATTCAATTACATATTAAGCTACATTTGAAGTATACAGCAGGAGCTATATTCTAAAAGTCAATATAAGTAAAAATAATCATGTACTCTTTAAATACTGAATTGGTTATGCCTGGAAGAAACAACATATTTCAAAGCTTGAGATTTATACATTCTCTATAATATCTAGTAAATAAGCTTCAAACATTTTCATTATCCGTTTCTGCAAGATTCCATGTTATTTAGTGCTACAGACTGCAGATAGGTAAGTCTGCCATTTAAAAATCAGTACTAAATATGTACAGAATGTGGATAGCCATGAATATGATAGGAATGTCATTCTGAGAACTTCTGAAAAAGTTAACAAATTCTATTACATAGTATATATGCACATACACAATGCATATAGACGAGGAAGTAAAAATCATACTGTTTATTAAGGTGGCAAGCAAAGGGCTATGGAATACTTCAATCTAAAAACAAACCAAAAGCTTCAGTGTACCATCTATGTCATAACTGAAAGTTTGGCCTGACTTTCTTTCAGATATAAATGAGAGAAAAATTCAGAGTTATGAGCTAATGCCACAAAACAACGGGGACAATTTAAAAAGACAAGTTTCCATGGCCTGATGTTTTGTGGAGTGGCTCATAGCAGATTTATATCTGCCTTGCTCTGTTTGCTAAGCATGGTGTCAAAGTGACAAGCACATCAAAACAGTGGTTAAACTAGCGATGTTGGAGAAATGAACTGTGGAATGGGGCTTCCCACCTCTTGCCTGTCGCCCAGGCCCACAGCCTTCCTGTGCTCCAGGGCTGTCCTGTTGCACGCTCCAAGGGACTAATTGGCATCTGCGCCATTTGTGGGTCTTCCACCTACAAGACAAGAACAGAAGCCCGATGGAGAAGAAGCAAAAATGCCAGGGAAATCACAGACACACAGCAGCATGGAAACATGCCTGACTATTGCAAACAGGAATTTATTTAACAATGCTCAGCTCTATTTAAATTTAATTTAGATCTCCATCGAGGTTTTAGAAGCAGCAGCATTAAATACCAAAGTACTTTCTCTGGCAGTGAAGAGAAGAGTACATCATTGTCAAGTTCTATAGGACTTTGTGGAGAACTTTTAGACTTTTTAATAATTAGGACTGCCAACAGATGCAACAGACCGCCCCAGAAGTGATGCGTGCCATTTAAATAAAGTACATTTATTTTATTCAAGTTATGAAACTGTATTCAAGGCATGAGTCTTTTGTATGGTGCTCTTTTGGTTCACCCTGTAGGAGTATCTCGGCGACTGTAATTACAGTACACTTTATAAAAACAAATTCCAAAAATAAGTAAGTTTGAACCAATAGTGGTCAATGATCATGGTGTAAACATGACAAGTATTTGTCATCTCAGAATTAAGGCTGATACATTAAGATGGCAAATTTGACAATAATGTCATCTTAAGTAATTATTTTGGGATTAATTGATGCTGTAATATTTTATTTACTGTTGGGACTGCAAACATACACTATGTCAGATTTCTACTAGGTATTTTCTGTCTTAATCATGAGGAGGTAAAATTTCTCTAATAAGTTATCAACATGATAGCCTCAATAACTATGATTTTATTTGAGGTGACCACAAATGAACACAACAGACATCTTATTAGCATCACTGAGATACCGTTGTCATTTCCGAAGCTAGAATACCAGCATTTATGAGAACAAACAGGTGCTCTTTGGAGCCAGAGGAGAAATACTGAGGCTATTCTTCTGAGTGAAAATGAATTGCTTCCTAAAGCATGTATGTTTCATAATTATTAATCACATTCAGCATTTCTTATACTTTCTTCCAACATAAGACACTTCCCTAAACTACTGTAGCTAATATCACACCTTGGAAATGTATAAAAGTATTTGTCTCCTTGATAGCAAAGCAGCTCTCCTGAAGATGAAGAGACAAGAATGGCAGCTACAGCCATCAACATCCCCACCTCCACTGAGCCTGCGGAAGCGTGTTGACTTCCTTTCCTTATCCTAGGAAATAAAGTGGAGTTGACGTATTTGTTCAGCTCCTCCCTCACGATGCATTTCTCTAATCCTACCTGTAGCTCTGGCACACTGGAGGTGCCTCGCAGGCCTTCTCTTCATAGAGAGGATCTGTGCAGTCTCGGCCCCCGTTGGCCGGCAGCTGGATGATGACCCGATGCCTAGACTGCTTCCGGATACCGGAGCCCCCTGCAATGAAGCAGCTTTTTAACCTCTGTACTTTGCACTGGTAAGATAATCTCTAAGTACCAGTCTGTGTGAAGAAATTACACTTCCTCCAGCGCCATGTGCTTTGACAAATCTGAGAGGCTTCACCTGATCTAAACATTCACCAAATTCCCCACAATAACATTTCTATCAAAAACCCCATCAATTCATATTTAAAAATGGACAAAATGTGAAGAATGGAGAAAACAATTCTGCAGTCAACTAGCCTTCCTAAGGTGCAGTTACAAAGTAATTGTTCTTTTGTGTAATTTTTTCCCTTGAGGAAAATGACAGATCTAATTAATTTATTTGCCTCTCCCTTAAGTTTATTTTCATGCTTTTTGCCTAGCCCTGTTTACCACATGGGACTCATACACATGTAATGAATCTTCTTCAGGAGAATATATTCAGTGCTATAATGTGAAATTTTATTTCTTTGTTATTCATTTAATTTGAAATGCGTAACTTGTAAATTATTCCGGTCATTTATTATTCATGCTAAACAGTCTAAGATCTTCAATTCAGGTCACATTCTAAACATCAGGGATCTACAGTAAAAAAGTGGTTTATTAGAGGCAGACACAGACTTTTTAAAGAAGCAGTCAAAATAGCAATAATTACTATAAGTAAATAATTTCAAAGGATGTTAAAAATGAGGAAAATTAACATATACTTTCAATAGAGACATCAATTTGACAGTATGAGTGATATAAGGATTCGAAAATCTTTTTGTATAAAGAGCATATAGTGTATACAACTTGCCAACTTTAATATACTTCAACTAATATTATATCTACTTTAAGGATTAATAGCTGCATGGTACAAGGTTTTACTTACAAAATAATTCTCTAAAGAATCATGTTAATATAATCCTCTTGATGTATTTACATTATTTGGTAAGATCTTCAAATATTTGATACACAAATTACAGGAACAAATATTTTCAAGGATTTGCAGCTCCTAACAATTAAAGTTTAATGAGAAATCAAATGAAACCTTATTAAGATACTGTGGAAGTGGTATGTATGATCTGATGATTAGAACATTTCCATAATGGAGTATCTTTTCTCATGAAGTCAAGGATATTCTTCAACATGGTCTGGGCAACTGAATCACTGCCATGTTTAGAGAGGACTCCTCTATTGGATGGGAGACTGGTGATTCCTAAGTGTCTGACTTCATAGGAGAATCTCTTTACCACTACCACCATCACCACCACCACCACCACCACCACCACCACCACCACCACCACCAACGTATTTCTGGGCCTATACCCAGAATTACTAAATCAGAATCTGGGAGCTGGGTTTGGGAATATGGTATTTAAAAATCTTGCCAGGTAACTGGGACAAAGGGCTATGTTTGAGGTCTATTGAAATAAATGACCTTGTAAGTCCTATCACAATTTAAGATTCTGGCCTTACATGTAACTTTTCAGAATTATTATTCCCATTGTGGGGTGTCATCTGTGCTATTAATGATGGCATAACTATTTTAATGAATCAGTGGAATACTACAGGTAATGGAGTAGGGAATTGGGAGCTACAAGTACTGGGCAGCAGAGAATTAAAGTATTTGAAAATACTACCATGAACTTTTAATTGTAACAGTAGCAGTTTGAATGTCAGCTGCAACTTTTACATGTTAAATATGATTTATCTAGGGAAGATCTAAGAAATGTGAACAGGACTTTTAATAAATTGCTAATGCAGTCTCCACCTATTATATTGTCCAAATGACCTGTATTTTAGGGCCCAGGTGATAAATTCCTTTAATAATTCAGAGATAGGGAAAACTTTGTTTCCCTTGACAATCTGTTAAGAATCCATTGTACTTCTATTTTTTGCTTTGGTCACCAGAATCTCAGAGCTAATTTTCTTCTCAATTGCAGGAGCTTGCCTCAGCTTTGGTTTTCTAGCATAATTTTTCTCTTCTTCTTCCTTTTACCCCCTCCCATATTTACTACTTGGCTTTGCCCTTCTTTTACAATTTCTATTACTTTTTCTTTTATGTTTGTGATCTGTGCATAATCTTATTTTTTTTTTTAAGTATACAGACTAAATAATTAGACTCCTCATGTGTTTAGCATTGGGGAAAGCAGGGTAGCTTCTGTTTGCTTGTTTTTTTAACAGGGACGTAAGACGTAAAGGGCTCAAATGGGTTTTTGTTTCCCAGTTGGTCAAAATTTTTAGAGGCAATTACTCTCCAACCTGCAGCTAGAAGACAGACACAGGATTAAGACCAAGGGATTTGGGGACTGGGAGAGACAATGAGCTCAGCATTAGTGTCACCTCACAGACTAAAGCTCCTGGTTATTAACTATCTAGATGGCACCTGGTGCATAGCCAGGGCTGGTCTACTTGAGGACACAGCTACCAAACTTTAATGTTTCAATTCTATTTTGTTTGTTGATTTAAAAGAAAAAATGTCACTTAGAATGCATTTCTGAAACATTCTCCTAGTGCCTTCTCATCACAAACTCCACAAATTAGTACAAGATATATAAGACTATGATGACTTTTTCACATCCTTAATGGATTCCAGAGTGGCAATCCATTTATTCTGATAAAAAGCTCAAATTCCTTAACCTGGCGCAGCCCAAAGGATAGATTGTGACATGATTAAGGCAGAACTCCTCAAAGCCATAACACCCAGAGAAGTTTAATGGAGTTACACAGGAAGTGTCATGACATCCATGTTTTTACTCACTGGGAGGTCTGTTTCTTCTTAGATTGCAGTTAAGAATTGCTTGTGCACTCGAAGTTACAGTACTGTAGAGTTCTGCGAGGTTATAGAACCCTCAGATCAAAGAGCAGAAAAAAAGGAAGCTATAGAGCACACATTAAAAACAAAAAACGGAAGTTTCCTCTCTAATAACTTGAGTTGGCAAACTTGGAATTTTATACCTTTCATCATCCCGTTTGTATTTATGCTCATTTTATTATATGTGGTTGATATATGTGTAGTGTTTCTATTCATCTGTGTGTTTTACACCTGAGACAAGAGTCACACATAGTAAGTGCTTAACAAGTATTTGCTGAATGCACATATTTTTTTCCACATCTTCTCAACTGGATTATTAGTTAGCACCTTCTATTTCTTTCCAACTATTCCTTTATAGTAGTAAGCACATGGGTACCAACATTGTGCTTTGAGGATTGATAAAAATAAGCTATCATCTTCTTTTCATTGGAAATAATATATATGGGAAAAAAATAAGGGTACCTGCCTTCAATGTTTATGCTTAAAAATGCTTATCTAGGATAGAAATGGAGAAAACAAATTGTACATCTAGCAAATAATTATGTAATGATACGGTATACAGATTCAGAAGGCATGTAATTTCTCACACAGTTATAGCATTTTTCAGATATTTTAAGACATTCAAAATAAATTTCACTAGAGAAATTACTTGATGAAAAGGATTTAAAGGGCAGGAAAAAATGGATTCATTAAACTGGAAATGGGATGGACTGCAGGTTGGACCAGCATAGTGATAGGAAATTGAAAAGGATGGGGAGGAAGGCAGCAAATCACACTGCCATGTGAGTACCTATGCAACAATCTTGCATGTTCTTCACACGTACCCCAAAACCTAAAATGCAATTAAAAAAAGAAAAAAAGAAAGGGTACATTTCATCCAAGAAGGAAAATGTAAAGGTAGCATTCATATCTCTGGTGGTAATTCTAGTGTTCTAGTGATTTAGAACATGAGGTAGAAGAAGCCTCTGCAATATTCCTGCTATCTCTCAAGACAATAAATGCAGTGAGAAAAAAAGGAGCAAATCAAATTTGAGAAACCAGATTATTTGATCAAAAGTATTGATTTTTTTTTAAAAATGAGAGGTACAAATAATTTATGTGCCTAAATTATTTCTATTTTTTAAAGTGCCCTTTGTCAAAATTTATAAAAATTTGAAAAAAAATTAGCAACTCACTGGTCTAAGGATTAAACTACATTCCACTCAATACTGATCTTATATCAGCATTGATATGTCAAGGGATATTTTAGGTGAAGGCTGAATGACATTTCAAACAACTCCTTTGGTTCTTCCTGGAATCCTATTCTTTTTTATTTCCTGTAATAGTACCGTGTATTTTACTCCTTTAAAGTGCTTTTAAAAAGAAGGTTGGTCCCGCACTTTAATAAGTCCAACATCCTTGTAAAATTTAAACTTTACTTGCAGAATTAAGTCAAAAGAACCACCCCATTCTTGAATTAATTTTCTGCTGCTATTACCTCTCCCTGAACATTCAACTTTGTTTAGCATTTTTAAATAGTATGTGTAAGTTGGTGTAATTTCAAAATGATGCTTGGATCATTTCCATTTCTTACCAAATAACAAAAAAACTAAGCTCAGTCATTGCTTTATTTTCTTCACAACAAAAGGCTAGCTTTCTATAACACCACTGTCTATTCTCCATGACAGCAGTCTCCGGGCAAAACAGAAAAGGCTTCTTCTAGAGCACAAAACATCTTGGCACTATGATTCAGTAACAACCCCTTCTATCACTCCCCAGACTGTAAAAAATTTTTATTTCCTCAATGCACAATCGTAGTGATTCTTTTAAAATAGGAGTGCCTAAGTTTAGAGTTTCCAAACCCTTTTTTGTTGTAGGAGACACAACATAAGTTGCCAAAGAAAACACTCAGCTATCATTCCTTGCTCCAGATGACACGACCTGTGTTCAGGGAAACATGGCTCTGCCTCTTAGGCAGCCTCTTGCTTCCAAGAGACTGATTCCCAAGTTGGCATTTTTTACTCCTCTGCCACTACCATCTCAGGAACTCCAGGAGAGGATAGTATCCTAGTAGCACCATGCATTTTTACTTACAGAGGTTTCCTACCTTGCCCCAAGGGACCAGCCAAACTAAACTCATCATGCCTTACATGACTGTCACTCACCACAAGAGCCCTCCCCAGCTCACGGTCACTTATCATCACCCACAGCACTACCTACATGTATAACATGATTCAATTTCTCATTCCTTTACATTCCCTAGGCCTTCCACCACTGCACCCACTGGAACTCATCATCACCCACTGGTTTCTCATCTTCAATCTCTTCTGGGAAAGTTTCCTTTACATCCTGGGCTCCAGTGGGCTGCTCTTTCCAAAACCACATCTTTCTCATGGTCATTTAATGCTTTCCTGATGTTTCTAATCCCCGCTTGGAATTCTTTCATGTTTCAATTAAATTCAAGAGATCTTCTTGAATTCTGAAGAACTCTTACTCCTCCTTTAAATACCATTTTCCTTAATATATTTGCTCTCACATGATTATTCCATTCTTTTCCTTAGAGCTCTTTCTGTTTTACCACTAAACCTTGTTATTGAACCATGTAAGCCTTACATTGTCTGGGCTGTGCAGAAATATTCTATATGTTAAATGTAATGAAATCTTCCTTGATGTCAGGGACTGTGATTTCTCTACAAGACCATTCGTGTGCTACTTATATACAGGAATCAATAAGTAATTAAATATTTATGCATATATACACACTTAAGTACTGACTCAGTTAAGACCTGTGTAGCATTCACAATCTATTCATTCTTATCTAACTGCTAAGAAGTTTTCTTAAAGTATTATGTGAGTTATCACCGTGTTTTACATTTTTTATTTTATAAATGATTAAACAGCAAAGAGTAAATCATTTTCTTCATACTGTAAAAATCATGAATTTAAAAATCATGTTATTTTCTTTTCAAGTATGGTGTTTTTATGAGTAAGAAACCTCTATTTTTTTCTTTCCTTTCTAGACATGTATAATAACAAAATCGCAAATGCATTTTCAAGAACTTAAGAAAAAAATATGTAGGCTACTTAAAATGGTCCAAATTTCTGGACACATTCCAATATCCAAAATTATTTTGAAATAAATATCTAAAGAAATTAGAAAAATTCTGATTCTTCACTTTTATTAGTGATTACTCCAGAATCAATTCAGTAAAATCTGTTCTGTTCTTTTTTTAAGCTTTACTTCCTTGAAATACTTTATATCAAGTCAACTTTTTAAAAACAGTATTTTACACAATACACAAAAATATTCAAAATAAGAGAAAGGCAAAGTCTTTCCACTTTCAAAATTTTCAGTTAAAATTTGTTTTAGACTATTAATAATTTGGTTATAAATGTAACTGCACATGTTTTGGAATTATTAGTAAATGAGCATATTTATATTAACACAAAAGATCAAGTACAAAGGCATCAAGAATAAAATCTGTAAATTTATTAATTCTATATAATTAACAATGCTTTTTAATTGAATTAATAACCAACAATTACCACCTATAAGAAACTGCCATAATAGGTAAAATATTAATCTATAATAAAGTACTATTCTTTTGTAAACATGCCCAGTGTTGTTCAGCTTTTAAAAAATAAAGGATTGGGAGGCTGAGGCAGGCAGATCACTAGGTCAAGAGATCGAGACCATCCTGGCCAACATGGTGAAACCCCGTCTCTACTAAAAATACAAAAAATTTAGTTGGGTGTGGTGGCACGCACCTGTGGGCCCAGCTACTCAGGAGGCTGAGGCAGAAGAATTGCTTGAACCCAGGAGGCGGAGGTAGCAGTGAGCCAAGATTGCGCCACTGCACTCCAGCCTGGCGACAGAGCAAGACTTCGTCTCAATAAATAAATAAATAAATAAAAGTAAAAATAAAATAAAAAAAAGGAATAGGAGAAGAAAATCTGGATTAAAATGTCATGCAATGACACTGCATAACAAGTTTATGCTATCAACCTGTTTATAAAAGTTAATGCTTACATCTCCTTTTAATTTGCTATTAGTTATTTAAATGCCTTAAAAGACTCTTAAAAATATTTGCAGTGGCTTATGCGTGTAATCTCAGCACTTTGGGAGGCTGAGGCAGGTGGATCCCTTGAGACTGGGAGTTTTAGACCAGCCTGGCCAACATGGCAAAATCCCATCTCTACTAAAGATGCAAAAATTAGCCAGGTGTGGTGGCATGTTCCTGTAGTCCCAGTGACTTAGAGGCTGAGGCACAAGAATCTCTTCAACCCAGGAGGTCTAGGGTGCAATGGGCCGAGATTGAGCCACTGTACTCAAGCCTGGATAAGAGAGTGAGAGACTCTGTCTTAAATACTAAAATAAAATAAATTAAAAAATAATTTTCTATCTCTTTTCAGTTTGTGGTTTAATATTATTTGATTTTTCAAGGGTGCTAAATAGAAAAAGCATCAAAAGAAACTTATGTTTCAACCATATAAATTTATAACACAGTAAAAGTATCTATTGTTAAATTTATAATCCATAAATGATTTGAATAAATTTTGACAATTTAAAATATCTGTTAAGCTAGAAGCTGATTCTTAATTGAGTCTCTCCAGTGTTGAGAAACATGAATAAAATAAAAGCATAATGGGAATTTAGAAAAAATTATCTGTATTTGTTGAGTGAATAAGATAAGAAACAGGAGACAGTGTCATTTATAATACTGCAGGGAAATTTGGGTCAGTTATTGTATAAGTCACCTGGAGGATGTTGATACCTTTCTCATCAGCAATGAGAAAAGATCCTGTCCTAGAGGGTAAAGAAAGAATTATCAAAGTATTTGACTTGGTACTAAGGAGTCTTTGTCTGTAAGTAATAAAAGCAAAACTAAACCAAACTGGGGATAAATACTCATAAATTCCTCCTGACACAGAATATGTTGGCAGAGAAAAAATTTGGCCATTTTTCTCTTTCTTTTATTCCTATTCTTGTAGCTGCATAATTGAATCTGTAGCAAATCTAGTCACATGTCATTTCTTAATATTAAGTAGGTTGAAAGCCATGTTTACAGATAAAAGCACTGTATATCCTTTTAAAATACACAAATCACTATATATTCTTTCAGAAAATGTGAAAGTAAACATTATTAATACAGTAAGATTTAGAATCCTTCACTTTAATCTATATCATACATTTTCAAGTCAGGCTTTGGAATAAAATTCACTTGTTTGGTTTTCTCAAGCTATGTTATTTTCTAGAGGGAAGCTAAAATTTTATGGCACCCATATCAAATCAGGTTTGCACAGCCCTGTACAAAACTCACAAACAATGCTGACCAGAAGACCTCAGAAATCTACCGAGGGCGTTTTCTAGGTGAACCGCCTTCCTGACTCTGCAGACCATACCTTCTTTACATGAAGAAGGGCATGATGTCCAGTCACTATAGGGGGTCACAATACAGTCCTTCTTACAAGGAAGCAGACAGGGCCTTACAGTTTCAGGTCGAAGGCTTTCAGGACATCTATGAAAGCAAAGGGAAATTATTAGGCTTCAATAGAAAGGAAGAAAATTAGATAATTTAATTTCTCTAGACTTTTCACTGATAAAATCACAAAACAAGTCACTCATCTATATTATTTAACTTCCAGGTGCCTTTCTTTCTGCTACAGGCAAGAATTATACAACTAAATTGATTGTTTCAAACTGGACCTCAGTAAAGCTTCTCAAGGCAAGATGTGCAGATTTACTAAGAGCAATGATGCTACTGAGAACCAAATATAACAACCGCCCCTTATCCTCTTATAATAATCTCTCTATTAATAAATATTTGTATGCTAATGTATTTTATGAGAAATTTTGTGGAAATTTAAATTATGAATTTAAAGATCTAATTCTTTAATATATATTTGTATGACTAAATAGGATTTTTGCCTATTATAAGTTTCTAGGTTATTCTACACTTTATTTTTACAAAATACCTACTTTATAAAATAAATTTACAGTGGAGTATATTCTTTACACAGTAGTCAAAATACAATACTGTATTAAGAACTACATATTTAATAATAAATAAGAAAATCAAAGTATATTAATCAATCTGATAAGCAGTTTTTGCTTTATTCATGGTTTTATTTAGTGTATCTATGTTTTCTTTTCCATTACTCCCTGGTTTGAATTATGGGATTTAATATTTCTTATGTTTTTATAAGCTACATTATCTTTTTTGGAACAAAAATAATGAATATAAATACAATAAAGGTAGTAAATCAGTAGCTTAAAAAAATGAAATACTGTATGCTTGACATAAATTGTGGTAAAATTATTGTTTTCAAAATAACAGCAAAAATATATTATTTATTGGGAATACAAGAGAAAGATAAGAATGAAGAACACGGAAATGTCAAACTTCATATAAGCTTTCACTTCTTAAGCGATAATAGGAAGCTATGCACAGGTTTAAAATATACTGTCATGTTCAAAATATACTTATTATATAATTTTTTACACTTGATCTTAGCCAAAAGGCTGAGAAGTAATAATTTTTATATTTCCCAATTCTTCTCTGCTTTTTCACGACCTGATACTACTACTGCTATAGGTCAAACGCTGATCATGAGCCTTAACATGAGAAAAAGATGTAGCTTAGAAAACTAAAATACAATAACATAATTCATATAATTAAAAGTAACAACTTAGATTCTGATTTCTAAGCAATTCTCTTTTGAAGTCATATAAATCCTTGCCATATAAGCTAATAGGCAATGAAGAAATAATCTAAACAACTAGTACAGTTCTTGTTAAAATAAACTGGCAAATCAGATTCTAAAATACTATATAAAAGATAATTCAAATATTTTGTAGTTCGAGATAAATTATCTTTTGTCAAATAAGTTACTCAGGATTTCAGAAGTGAACTATGAGTAAAAAAAATCAACATGAGAAATATATTTCCCATATTTTTATAGTATTTTGCTGATACTTCAGTTTTGACATAGCTTGTATTATAATTATTTATGTCCATTTTCTTTCTCATACATAAATATTATGCTTTATTCAATTATATAGATCCATGTTCTCCTCTTTTACTTGAAAATCCTAGTGTATATTTGGAAGTGAATTTTAAAATATATAGAATCCAACATTTCAAAAATAATCTTTTTGATATATCTTCAGCTGGAATTTTCCTAATTTCTATGACTATTCAAAGTCATGAACAACAAAGAAATTCAGATTTGAATCATAGAAGTGAATGTATTATTACAATTTAGACTGTAAATCACTAGAATTATAATTAAACTCTACATATAATTCAGTTAATTCTTTTGGAACTATAAAATTATTGGTCAGTAATTATTATTCTCAGCACTTTTTTTCAACAAGGCAATTTCATAACTTTAACAATGACAGAGTGTTACTCAGCTGCATGCTCCTCAGATATTAGCCCTGAATAAATCAATGGAATTTACAATGTTATCATTGACAACCTCCAACTATTCTGTTTTAGTTGAGAAATAGTCACAGCAAGATTCTTGGCTGACTGTGGAGAACAAAATTACAAACAACAAAGTTGTTAAATGAACACACAAAGATAAATTATACAGCCTAGGTGACATCCAATAAAATGAATTTGGACTTCCTTTGGTAAGGCAATTGGTTCAGTCAACATGCTTCTTTTATCCTTTGTACTGTTTGTATTCAGTGTCTATGGTTTAAATCAAGGAATTGATTTTCCCCCAAATCTTATTCAAGGTCAAATTAAACAGATGTGATAGGAGCTGAAGTTTGTTACTGGGAGGATAGATAAGATCAATAACATTGATTTTACCATTGCACAGTAATCTGTTTTATTAAGAGAAGTTTAAAACAAATTTTTAATTTGCATTTTTTGGTCCAAATACCTAGTATTGGAAACCATTCACTGAATTTAACCTAGCATTTAGGGAGAAGGACAGTAACTTTTTCTTTTGAATTCACAGTATTGGCTTGATTTTCTAGAATTTTAAAGGCAAAGTACATCCATTTGATTTAACAAGTCTATAGATATATACAGGTCATTGAATGAAGGCTGCAAGGGCGAAGCAAATTTTTAATGAATGATTGTGGTAGTGTGATGTGGGGCTTCAAGATACCCTTCCACTGATTTAATGCTGTTAATCCAGCAGGCTTTTCACATATAGGCTTCTACATATGCACATACATTACTTAGGAAAAATATTTTGTAGCTTGTAGAAGTGCGGAAAATGTCAACAGCAACATCTGGAAGATGATTAAGCATGGGACAAGAACAGAATGAGCTTACTGGTAGAAGCTCAGCACAGTAACCCTCATCCTGTGCCACAGCGGGTTGGGCCTGTGCCTGTGTAGTGAATACCTTTATTCCTATTCCAGCAAGAATCAGAATCCTCCAAGACTTGAAACTTCTACTGTTGTTGTTACTTTTGATTTTAATACACTGCACATTAATTTCCTGAGATTCATCACCACTTTAACATAATTTATATTAAAATACTAGTTTGAGGCTACCTATTAAACATGTGAAACAGTCTTTTAATTTATTCAAATCACTGGCATGTTTTCTGTTTCCTAATTTCAAGCAATATAAACAAATAAGTCGTGGGGCAAAATATCCCTAAGGTCTGGAACCCAGGCCAGATAAAAACAGCTCATAATAGGATTCTTATTTATGTCCCTGGAGTTTTTCATACATCAGAAACATTTTCATCTTCCTGGAACACTAAGGAGTAGCTAACATTCTTAAGAAAGAAAGAACAATTTCTAACATCTATTCAGTACTTGGATTATTATTTTATTTTTCATTAAACTCTTTCAACAGGCTTTGAAAACTGTTGGTCAGAATAAGTTAGGTGGCATGCTGAAGATTACACACAATATCTCACCACTTGGCTGAGTATTTTGAAAAGATGAGGCTTTTAAACTCATGCAAAAATTGACTCGTTTACCATTTCATATCTCACATGGCTAAGGTGATTTGAATTTTTTAAAAGTATGCTGTCTTAGATTTAAAAAATCAAGAGGTTTTTCCCCTCAAATATATATTTTTGGAATGGGTTTATTAATTTTCTCTATGCATTGCATAGCTCAGCTATGCCACTGTTTTTGTTTATACTTCTCACAAGGCACATATAATATGCCAACTCTCTGGTTCTTTGTCCTCTCCTCCAGCAAAGTGTTTTCCTTGTTATTACAGTACTCATATCCATCCTGAGAAACTAATAGTTTTTCTACTTATCATAACACTCATCCTATCCCAAGGCTCTGTCTTGAAAATAAATGGTTTTTATTCTAACCATCGAAAGATACAGTAAGTATGCTTCAGTATTTTTGATATAGTGTTTTTTAGGGGAAATGAAAGGCAGATCATACAAGGCTTCTACCCAATTAAACTAGAATGGGCAGCCTCCATAGCCTACGGGTATATAGGAGGTCATGGATGACCCGCACTGCCAGGACTTAGTACACTGTCATTATTGCTCAGCCAGGCTTAAAGCAAGCACTTCTTTCATTGCCTCACTAGCTTAATAAAAGCAGAAAGTGCTACCATAAAACACAAAGTAGCTACCAGACAGAAAGATTTCTATGGAATTTATGGCTCCCCAGTACAAAACTCAAAGCTGTTATAGTTTTATCAGTAGCTGACTTTCAAAACAAACAAATCTTACTCTTGAGGACAGGTAGGACAAGCATCAAAAACCTCCATTTCATGAAGCCAGTGAAGCCTGAGCCATTCCTCTGCACAGTTGGCTACAGGATTTACTGTTGTCATTCTAAAGCTCTTACTTTTTGGGTCCCACTTGGCCCACATTGACTCGCACACAGATGACTTTTCTCGTCTGCATGCCGACAGAGCAGGACACCTCTCCGTTCCAAGTCGTAGTTGTGTTGAAGGACGATACGGAGGTGTCCTCAACGCACTGGCCCCAGGGACCAGTCTGCCAGTGGTACACAGTGCAAGGATGCTCATTACAGCTTCGCACTTCTTGCAAAGCACTGCTATTTGGACAGTGAATTCCACCTAAAAAATGGACAGTGACAGCAGATTAGATATGGTGCCAGCAGGAACGTGACCATTCTCTGTTCTCTGGAATTAACATGGCTGACAACAAGATCCACCACTTATTTAACACATAGCCTGTGACCTACACACTGCTAGGGAAGCAAATTATGTGGCATAGTATGGCTTAAAATATAAACTCTGTAGTTACATGACACTTAATTTAGGGGGCTATGGAAGACTTTAAAGAAAGAGGCCATTGTCCTCCAGAGAAAGTGAAAATGAGGTACAAATGAGGCCCATGTTATTGCTGACCAGGAGAAACACGGGTACTGAGACTTTGCGGATGGAGAAAACCAAGTTTATTTTCAAATATTATCCCCCAAGTTCAAAGTCTTAGTTACAGGTTTTGAAATGTTGCTTAATTAAACATATTAGGTTTCAGGGTGATCAGAAACAGGGATATTAACTGTGAATGACATATTATGATGCTCCAGAGCGTTACTGGGAAGGCCACTGAGTAACAATAGTATCATATTTCTTCAAGCGTAAGTTGTATTGACTGTGCAGTCCACCATCATTATACGTGTCCCAAAGAAAAAGAAACGGCTGCAAATTAAAATATGCTTTCTGATAAACTCCAACTTATATTGTGTGCTTATTGAAATAGCTTTTTATAACTTAATCATATAGCTTTTAATATTTCTCTTTTGCATACATTAAAAGGAAAGGTATTTCTAAAACTTACTTACATTCAGAATCCCAATCTTTCAAGTCAGTTTTTAATTCACACCCATTGAAGTCCGTGTTCTCCTCCTACACAGTATCAGCTTCTGTGATGTCAAAAATGCTGATGTAGGGTTTCTTAAAAAAGAGTCTCCTTTTTCATCTCTAGAATTTTCTTCTGGAATACTGATACTCATCTCTAAGTTTTGATGTTGTAGCATTTTTAATTGCCCCAGAAGGTATCAATGAAATTTTTAAGCAAGCAACTGGGATTTCTTTTCTTTCCTCAAATGGTCCTAGCAGCTTTTGTCTGCTTTGTTGGAGAAGCATCGTGGAATTGCTCCACCAGGAATAACAGCAGTTTCACATGTACAAGAAATGATGACTGTGCCATAACTGTTGCTTGGCCACAGAGATTTTAAAATGCATCCAATGTGAGATGCCGTTATTCCAGAGATGTTAATGGGTAAAACAGATGCAACTTCTTATCAATAGTATATGGTGTCAGAGTTATTCTGGACTTTAAAAATATGCAGTAGCCCCATAGTAAGTACTTTGTAGGTGGCATTTTATGTTCACAACTGTTCTATGAGTTAAAAATTATTAATTGGATGAACTCAAACAGCTTTAATGATGTGACTATAGCAACAATGAGGAATTTATGGCGGTCAATTTGTTACCTCTGTGCTATTTCTGATGACAATTATGAAAACACAAATTCTTATGTTGTTAAAAGCAGGGTATTGGAAGAATTTATTGCTCACTTTATTGACAGTTTCATCTATTGGAATTTATGCAGCCTCTGAATTTCATCTTAGAATATAAAAGAACTGGTTGTAAATGTGGAATGGTGGGAAACCTGAGTACTCATTACAAACATTAGCAATATAGTAAATAGAGGAAATGTTGAATATAATAAGAGGTGGGCTTTAAATCTCAGGAAAGCAGGCTTCAGAAAGTTAAAAATAAATAACAAAAGGCCATTCAGTAGCTAGGGACCCTAACATGGAAAATGGCTCAAGAAGTGAGATTAGGATGAAAATCAAACGTAAAGCCAGGGGCCACACCTGAGCTGATCTTCCAGTATCACTTCACTTATGATTAAAGACATCGCTTTATTCAGCAAATAAGTCAGTAAAAAGTTCATGCGAGAGCTCAACTGCAATTTGGAATCATTTATGCAGTGTTGAACGTTGGTTCGACCTCAGAATAACCCGCATCAAACAGCATTTCATTAATATTCTCTACTTCATGATGGTGGAAACATCTGTCACAGTTCATATCCTATCCTCCATCACATAGCTCTGTGACCCTGTAAGCCTCGGCAAAGAAGTTTAGGATTTGATAGAAATGAATCCTAAAACATACTAATTGGGCTGGGGAGATAAATGGGCTCTCCAATTACCAATTCTTCAGATTTATCCAATCTTAACTCTCAGACAAACTAATTATAAATACAATATATATGTAAGTTTATACATAATTAATAATGTATTATTTAAGAGTAAAAGTACTGATCTCCTACAAAGAATATGCTTCTTGACTGACTTCATTTTCTCTGTGATTAATAAGTATACTGTTTAAAATGTGATCTTAAAACTTCAAATTGTTTTTGATGTTGGAATTGATTGGTTGGCTTTGGAATAAAATAAGAACAAATCTTCTACAACATCAGCGTAACGTGTTGAGAAACTGTGAGATAGCAGTTAAGTTTACAGACATAAAGGTTATTTATTTGCTTGCCCCATTACACATTAAAGCTACATCAGCAGTTTTGGTCTGATGTCGGGATACTTGCACAGATAAGCCCCAGTGTGGTCTTAATTATAAAGAGAAGATGGCAATTTTGAAAGAATGGTTTGTAGTAATTAGTCATTGCAGCATCATGATGTTGTTTGGGGAATAATTTTATGGCAGAAAAGTTGATAGATATAATACTGAATTTATCTATTAGTTACAGAAAGATGTAATTTGAGACTTCTGGGAATATTTCCATAGTATTTAGGAAATTATAAAATGTGATTTATGACAAAATTAGTCATAATTTAAAAAATCATCTTAAATAGAAATATATATTTCATACCAATACCACTATTGAGATTTTCTGTTATTATATTAAAGGGAATAATGTTATAAGACTTTGAAAAATTCTGCTATGTAAATAAACTTCTATGGTCATATAAAAATATCAGCTATTATGCGAAACTTCTTAGAAATAAAACAGTGACTTTTCCTCCCCACATTAAGTTCATAGAAGCTTTGTTAGGAGGCAGCTGCACAGAGCTATGGTGTTTCCAGTTCTGACATTTACATCCTTACAATTTAGATGATAATTTTTTTTTTTTTTTGAGACGGAGTTTCGCTCTTGTTACCCAGGCTGGAGTGCAATGGCGCGATCTCAGCTCACCGCAACCTCCGCCTCCTGGGTTCAGGCAATTCTCCTGCCTCAGCCTCCTGAGTAGCTGGGATTACAGGCACATGCCACCATGCCCAGCTAATTTTTTGTATTTTTAGTAGAGACGGGGTTTCACCATGTTGACCAGGATGGTCTCAATCTCTCGACCTTGTGATCCACCCGCCTCGGCCTCCCAAAGTGCTGGGATTACAAGCTTGAGCCACCGCGCCCGGCCTAGATGATAATTTTTTTTTAAAAAAGAATCTTGTTTAAAACAATAATTAAATGCGGATTCGACGTTTATGTGAGATGCTTCAAGAAATACCTAGAGGGATTAGAAACAGTTCCTGCTACTCTCAAGGATCTTATAATGTAGTGGAAAAAAGCAGTAGGAGAGGTAAGCATACAAACGAGTGTAATTCCAGATAGAATGAAATAATTATCTTGTGGGGTATTTAGTATAACCGGGATTCAAAGAGTACAATTTCACTACTTTTTGACTCTGAAAAATGTCTCAGACTGAAAGAGGCACTGAGAAAGTTTTAAAGGAGTAGGATTTTAACAAGCAGAATTCTGGGAAGGGTCAGAAGGAAAAGAGAATAGTATCTAAGTAGAAAAATAAATAAATAGAAGCAAAGGCATGCAGGCAGGTGTGACCTTGGGCATTAACAATGCTGATGTAGTAAGTTGGAGTGTTGAGTTCACATCAGAAAATAACTGGCAACAAAAATAAGAAAGTGGATGGGGCTTCTGTTATGAAGAAGATATTGGTGTGAATAGCACTATTATCATAGTACTATTAATTATACTTTTAAGGTGCTTCTAGCTTTTCCTGCTATTGCAGGCTGAATTTCTTTTACAGCAGACCAATGCTGGGTGAAAAGCACATTGGCAAGGATATGCTTTGGGGGTGTTGAAATGGAACAGCATTAGCTGTGGGGCACCTCAGGAGATTCTGTTGCAGTGTAGCCCCATCCCCCAGGTTTTCTTTGCAGAAATAGACAGAAGACTGTCCATCACACAGCCTGCATAAATCCTGTGTGGTGGTCAAGTCGTGACAGATTGAAGTAGAATTCTGTTTTCAAGGTCAATAGTGGGAGAATGGGGAGGTGACAGTATTAACTTAGAAATCAGAGTTGTAAGTATACATATACTCATACATGTAATGAAGCCTGCATTCTTCACATTTTTCTAGGAAATATGGGTACTACCTGGTTACTATAATTAAAATCACTTAGCTATAAAAACTAAACAAGTTTAAATAAAAATATTTGTCCCTCAATTTTTTTTTCATTGTGAAATATGACTTTTAAAGACTATTATTTGAGGAAAAAATGGCAACTTATTTCAATCTGCATCTATCCTCAGCTTTATAAGACAGGTGTAAAGACATTAATATTTGGTTGATGTTGTTTTACCAGATCACTGTGAACTGAACAAAAATAAATATTCTTTCCTTTTTTTTTGCTTTGTAAGAATAATTAACTACATCATGAAAATTAACAGAAATTGTTATGTCCAGTGGGAAACATTTTAAAAAATCACCTTTTCCTTTTGAAGTTTGTTAGGATCTACAATATAGGTTCAAAAAACTGAGGAAGCTAAAAATCTAACATTAATTTTAAATTTTTTGTTCAAATTCACCTTACTATTTATATTTAAAAATATGCCAGAAGTATTAAAAGGTTGCCTACATTTAGAATTTTCTAACATAACTTTAAAATATCTTTTTGAGACAAATACTACAGTTTATGCAATATTTATACCTTAAAGTAAGAATATTAAAAAGTGAAATGCCAACTTTAACCAGATGTCAAGAAACACAAGCACACACACACACACACACACACACACACACACACTTTTTTTAAGTGTAAAGAACTAATTTTACCTTCTCCAG